TGAACAAGATGGCTAAACTGATCTAAGAGTTCGCTGATGCCAAAAACAAGCAGGCTGTGCTCTGCTACCTTTCTTGTGCTGAATTTGGTGCTCACCTAGTCCCTCAGTGAACCAACTCAATGGTAATATGACAGAAACCCATCTTGGCTAACCTTTCTCCAGATTGGCATGATGAATCAGGTGAGCAAAGAATTAGATGAGTGCCAAAGCAATGCAAGAGAGATACAGAAGGCCTGTGACTGAGCAAAAGGGAGCAGATTAGCCCCCTTCAACAGCAGAGAATTGTTAAATCACTTAAGCCTGTCTTGTCTGACTGCACTCCTCTTAATAACTCCTCTTAATATAGAGTTCTGAATATAACACACTTTCTTCCCCCTCCCTCTAGCCCAAGCACTCCTCCTACAAGGCAAGCTGAATATCAACTTACGCATTTTTGTTTCAACACAACAGGAAGCCGACAAGATCTCGAATTGTGAGAAAATTAATCTATGAAATTCTTAAACAGAAATAATTTGGAAATTATTCAGGTGCTATCTCAAGTGACTGTGATTAGTACAGACTAACCAGGAGAGGCTTCTCTACTAAAGATAACTAACACTTTCTAACTAACTGAACCTATTCCAGTCTAAGCTGATACATTATTTATATCATTTGTTTGAAAGGAAAGCTATTGGAAGTTAATAACTTTTTAAAAAGTGTGCCAGACAAGCTCTTCTAGTTCACAGTGAATTCTGTAGTTAATTGGTCTCGATAGGCCATTAGCCTGACACCGCAGAGTGCTTCTTTTGAATGATGGAATCTTCTTTTAATGAATACAGTATTTATTATTGTACCTTGAGCTTTAAATACGTTCTATGGGGCTCTAGTAGTACACTGTATGATACATGTTAAACTTCCATTGTTAGCTTTAGTCTTAAGATAGGAACAAGATGGAGGTAAAATAAAACAGCACAACTTTCTTGAGCTTGTGTTTTGCAGTTTTCTCCATTTCTTTTGACAAAAGAAACTCAGCAGCAGCAGATTTAGTGGAAATCGTGTTTCTAGTGCTTCTTTTTGTCCAGATTTCCCCACCAAACATCATCATTCCCTTCTACCCTCCCAGGGATGTCCTGTGACGTCCCTGCTTCAAACTGTGCGGCAGCTGGTCTGTAGCTGTATGCATCCACGTTGCTTGCTGACTACTGCCAAGTAGAATATACGCTTAATAGACTTCCACCTTGGTGGTGTCACCAATTTCTCTCATTTTAGTTTGGCGGATACTCTTACTACTACAACTTCCATGAAAATCATCCTTGAAACTTCTGTAACATCTGAAACTTCTGTAAAATTTTGTTGAAACTAGCTATTTGCATTACAAATTCTTGGGAGCAGAGTGCCATTGGTGTAAATAAAAACCTGAAGATGCTGCCAAAGTGGAAACCATTATAATTTTGTGACAAATGCTATTTTTCTTGGGACTAATGTAGCTTTTCACATAGGTTCATGATGAAGTTCATAACACAGTTCTGTCAATAAATTTCATGGCAACTTTGCTGTAAATGTTTAATACTCACCCACTGAGGAAACCTATGTTAAGCTACTAAAAATTCTGCTACTGTGGGGGGGGAAAAATGGTGAGTGTGGGTATCTGTTTAAAAAAAAAAAATAAAAATGCTTACATGATCCTAGCAGTTGTTCCAAACTTATCATCTGATTGGCAACCACATCCTCACTACCTCCATATTCAGAAGTGGATTTAAATTCTTTCTTTTTGTTGTGTACTACCAGCTACCCAAAAGGCAGGCAAGGCCGGTTCCATGTTGTGTTCCTCTTCATCTATCGCCTTCGTGCCCTCTGGCCTCTACTTAGAAAGCCTGTCTCTTCCCTTGCAGCTCTTCCATGGAGCATCTGCCTCCTGTACTTTTACAGCTTTTTCTTAATGATTCATTCAACTTCGAGTCCCCTGGGCCTGACCTTTGCTGCCCCCTCTCCTCCGGCATCTGTGTGGGCTAAGGTCTGTGTAGTGGCCTGTGAACCGAGCAGAGCGGAGCTGGGTCTTCATCTGTTATTACAGTAATTGCTTCTTGTGCTTGTGTCACCAGTATTTTTCCAGGTCCAGAACCCCGTATGCTAGAGGCAGACTGGACTGTCTCTTGGCAGAGCCCTGCTTTGTAATACGCTTAACTTTTAGTTACATAGCTTCCTGCACTCCATGACATCGTGCTGTGTTCACAGGCTGCGTGCATCCTGCAGCTTACCATGCTCCTGGGCCCCTCCGGGGTGGAGTTGGGCCCAGGCCCCCGTCTGGTGTTACACTTCTTCCCTTCTGTGACATGCTGCTGCCTCTGCCACCATATAACCAGACCCAGCAGAGGGACGCTGGCGGGAATGCAGGGTGTGATTACATGTACACAAAGCCAGATTTATTCCATTGGTTCAGCAACCAGAACCAGAGGAAACCTTCCAGTCCCCCAGAGGAAAAAGAAATGAGATCATCCCTGCTGGAGCAGTTACCCATTAGGTTAGCTCATTTGTAACGGGTGACCGAGCTGCATAAAACATACCGTGACTGCTCATAATCTGTTAGAGAGCTAGTTCTTTCCGCCCATCATGAGTTTAAGTTTTCAGATCTTAGGACACAGTAGTATTTAAAAGCAATACACATAATTAAGTGTTGTGAACATATGAATATGGTCTGGTGTATGTAATGTGATGACTGCTGGTGTGGCTGTCCTGGTAAACCTCCCTAGCTCATGGGCATCCTCTGGATTTTTTTATCAATTCCAAACCAAAATGAATGAAATTAGCAAAATTATTTCTCCCCCATTCCACCCCAGCCTACATAGGTATATGGTAATGTTTGGGTTTGAAGTATTTTTGCTGGCTTTACTTTTTTTTTTTCTTTTAATTTTTTTTAAATCACTCATGTAAATGACCCTCCTATACCAACATAAATTTATAACAGAGAACCGATTTTGTCTTTTCACTGCAGTCTAAGTAAAATTTCTTATTCTATATAGATGTATATATGTGTATGTATGTAAAAAAGGAAAATCTCTGAAATGACAACTGCTGATGCTTAAGTGTAAATATACTTCTGTAAATCATATTTTAGTCCTAATTAACACCTTAGGAGTTAAGGAATATTTTTTACTTCTTTGTAAAGCATATGTGAAAGGTGGTCTTTTGTAGAACAGTTCATGTTTTAAGAAAGTTTCTGCTGCTCTGAGTGTGGGTCTGTTATTTCCAGTCTTTGCAAAGGAGTGAACATTAATGTTTTTAGCATGCAAAACACTTGTTTTAATTACTTTTGTTTTCAACTGAATGGGACTAAAGATAATATTTTCTTCACTTGAACTCGCTCATTTGAAGCGAAGAACTTGACTGGAAAACATAAGGTTTTCCTTTTCTGATGTATAAGTGAAAGTTGTGACGATGCCCCATGCGTGTTATTTGTTCCACTTGACATCTACATGTTGAATAGTAGATATACAGAAAAGAAATTAGCATGCTGCTTGAGGTGATGCTGGCAAAAATGATTTTTTTTTTTTTTGGCAGGGGCAGGAGTGTGAAGGTAGTCTATTTAATAAAGGCTACAAATACAAGATGGAACTTATTGTAACTTTTAAAGTACTTGCTTAGAGTATGTAATTTGGAATACTTATATCCTTAGCAAATGCTTGGAAATTTCATGACCTGCAAATGCTTTTGAATAGTTTATGAATTGTTATCTCAATAACTTAAAAGTATAGGAGAGAAAAAAGTGCATTTTTTAATTTTAAGATTAATCTTCTTCAATTTTGCCAATTTAAGCAGAGGAATTTACTGGAAAATGTTTTCATCCAATTTTATTTCATTCGGCTATCAGATGAGTTACACTGGATACCTACGTTCTCATGAATGTTTGCTTTGCCTATTTCAGTGATCGCTGTGGAGAAGACCCAAACCAGAAAGTAATCCATGGGGTTATTAACTCCTTTGTTCATGTTGAACAGTATAAGAAAAAATTCCCCCTAAAGGTAGATACACATTTCTGATTTATGTTTTTAATTTTGAATGTTAATCTAGTATATGCATTATTTGTCCTTTAAAAAAAAAAAAATCTCCCTTTTAGTTTTATCAGGAAATTTTTGAGTGTCCTTTTCTGAATGAAACAGGGGAGTATTATAAACAAGAAGCTTCAAATTTATTGCAAGAGTCAAATTGCTCACAGTACATGGAGAAGGTAAGATATTCTTCTGTACATATGCAATAACTAAAATCTAAAATTATCAATTTACTGACAATACATGTTTTCCTGTACAGTTCCCATAGTTGTTTTTTGTTGTATGCTTCTATGCAGTTTGAACTATGCTTTTTGGTGGCATGGTTAATCTGAATATAAACTACAAACCTTGCCTATGGATGGACTATCAGCTTCAAAATATTTCATAATAAATGTTAAATCAATTGCATGAAAAGTAAAAAAAAAAAAAAAGACAAAAACCAAAACACCTATCAGGTTGATCAGTATTGCTTACTGACTTCCTTATTTTCCTTCTGTTTGTAGTAGCATAAGATGAGAGTTTTAGCAATATAATGGTTAGAGAAGACGATATGGTAGAGTTGTTACAGAGCATTGTTAAAAATTACATACTCTGGGGTGGATTTTCTTTCGTTTTGCTTTGTGGTGTATGAGGTCAGGTTGTGGTTATTACTTGTAATTCTTATACCTTGCTTGAGAAAGCAAAGATTAGTACAAGACTAGGAGTCAGTCCTTGGTGCTCTACTGTCCACACTAACAAGACAGAAGAGTTGAGGAGAAGGCCGTGAGATTGCTTTTAACCATAAGGAGCATAAGCTAATGGTTGCACAGGTGAGGTGAAATTCAGGGACAGGCTAAGACTTCAATTAAACCAAAAGAAATGCAGATTCATTTTGTCTATCACTAGCAGTCTGCAGCTGCACTACTCTCCCTAGGCTCCCCTCATATTCACTGGATGTAAGTACTTTTATGTCAGTATTCATATGACTTATTTTATGATAATGCCTATTTCTGTCATTGAAGTTATAAAGAGAGTTTTTATTAATAGCTCAGATGTACTCCTATACCTTCTGAGCAGATGTTTACGTACAAGCAGATGGGTTTGGAACAGTAAAGTGATTCTTATAGTCATGTAATTAGGTATTGTGGTAAAACTTTGTTAGAAGGAGTAAGAAGTGTGGTAGGAGAAATTGGGGAAGACTGATCACAAAGTTCAAGGGAAGAAGAAATTTTGAGAAGAGAACTACTGAGTGCTATTAGACATCTAGTAGTGACTGAGCCTAGTCAGTACTCAGGGTAGAAGATTATATTAATTCAGCAACAGCCTGATTCAAAAGAGCAAATTTAATTTTTCAGCATCCCAGAGAAGTTATTTTTTTAACTTTGTTACTTATTCATGTCTCTCATTCTACCTACATGTACTGTTGCATATTCATGGTTCTATATTGGTTGTTAGTATTTCATCAGCTCTTGGTTTAAAAACTTGTCTGTAGGTTTTAGGTAGATTAAAAGATGAAGAAATGCGGTGTCGGAAATACTTGCATCCCAGCTCATATGGCAAAGTGATTCATGAATGCCAACAGAGAATGGTAGCTGATCACTTGCAGTTTCTACATGCAGAATGTCACAATATTATCAGACAAGAGAAAAGAAGTGGTAAGTCTCAATGGTCACAAAGTGTGAAGTGGTTTTTGTTATATTCATTTAGCATTGCAATTTACTATCTTTATTCAATGACCTTCTATAGCTTAATCATTTTCAGCTAGTATATGTTACTTATCTAGAAAGCCCAATTAAACCCTGAATGATGTTTTTCTTTTACCATGTAATTCATTTTCATTCTTCCAAATATATAGTCAAAACTTTCTTTTTACTGTTAACAACCCTTCTTTCAGCCAATACTCTTTCTCTTTCCTTGTCTTAGTCGACTTAAAAACACACTGAAGTCCTGTGTCCTGTAGAATGGATCATATTTTATGCTTGTGTTTTTCATTTGTAAACCAATGGCTCTGTCTTTACAGATTTCTTCATCATCATTTGACAGGTCAGGATTATAAAATATTTTGGCTTCTTGTCATAGCCACTTTTTATTGTCCTGAATCTTTTGTGACCTCTCTTCCCAAATCCTTTTTACAGAAGCAGATGCTCTTATAGTTACATTCCCTGCCTGACTAAAAAAATTATGCTTCCTGATGACTACATGCTTCTTACCCTTGAAAGTGCTTATTCTTGCATGGAAGATGGTATCTATTATGTGAAATAAATTATTTTTCACAATCAAGCTCAAATTCTATCTAATAATAGTGTTCAGTTTCCAGAGAGTTTTGCAAATTTGATCAGAGCTCGGATCCTTTTTATGCAAAAAAACCCCCATAAAAATAGCAGTTGCCTATTTACAGCTTTTCTAACCTGAGAAAAATTTCAAGCCACCACTGGAGGAAAACAAAAAGTCAAGAAGATATCTAAACTGATTGTAGAAGATATCTAAACTGAGATTTAGGGAGGCCGAGGATTAAAATAATCTGGCACAATACTTTTCCATACTAGCCCACCTCTCCTGTTGGAGTCTCTCCTCAATAAGCAGTATTGGAAGAGTGAGGTAGTCACAATGGCAGTACTCAGTAAATACTGATATTAGCCCTACTCTTTCCTTTTTTTCTTTTGTCAGTGATCCAGTGTATGTTAAAATTTTTTTTCAAAACAGTTGGTCTTGTTTCAGTCTTTGGAAAGTTCTGTGTGAAATTATGATACTATACTAAGTGTTGATTTTTAGTGTTTCTAAGCATATTCTATAAAAATGTATCTCTGTTACAGACATGGCAAATATGTATACTCTACTTCGTGCTGTGTCAAGTGGTTTACCTCATATGATTCAGGAACTACAAAACCATATCCATGATGAGGGCCTTAGAGCAACCAGCAATCTTTCTCAGGAAAATGTGAGTTTCCTCAGGCAGCTGAAATTACCTATTTGATTAACATTCCTGATGAAATGTTTACCCTTTTCTTTTTAGTCTATTCTGGTTTTTCTAATTTTGTCTATATGAAATTGGTTTGGAATATTACGGATAAATTGTAACTTCTAATCGGCACACTTAGCTGTGCAACACATATCTATCCTGAGAGTTGATTGTTGTGATCTAACCAGAAACAACTACAGCTAGATATTTCTCGTTGTTTGTTTAATGCTGTCATGGCAAGTAGGTCCTTTTGTTCCATGTATGTATTTTTTCCTGAGTTTCTCTAAGTCAGTGGCATTTGCTGTTCTGGTGCGTTAGGAACCAGTGATTCCATTTAGTTTAATTATATGTTATTTGTAAAGACTTGACATCCTGTCCTGATTTCAGTGTGGTGTTTTTCACTAATAGCTTTGTAGTCTCATATTTTCATGTAATTTCTGAAAATACTGTAGCTTAATTATTTTACTAAAGTGTGTTAAACTTTTTTCAGTTCATATGTATTTAAATTACTCAATTCCATTTGTGTTCCTCTAGCATTGCTGTTCAGAAACAAACAAACAAGCTTTCATTTGGCATTATATTTGTACTTGTATACATCTTGCTGTCCAGATCTGTGCTCACTTTAGGATGGTGACTTTAGCCGTCCAGTGCTTCTGTCTATAATAATACATAGGTATGAACTGTTGTAAATTCACTCCTTCATTGACTGCACAGGAGTGCTTACTCCTCCGTGACTCCTGTGTGCATACTGAAAATGGGCTGAAGTCTTTAGTAGTATAGTTTGCTTTCAAATTATTTGTAAGTGTGTTGAGCTTATTCTTTCAAACTAATAGAGTCTACACAGGGAAATGAATGCAGAGCCATGAGGGTGATGAAAATTCACGACCTTATGTAGATAAACTCAAAATGTGAAATACTTGCTCCGCTGTGTGGATTAAGTACTTTGTCATCAAAACATTTTTGATGTGTGACCTGAGAATGCACTTGGGGAGTCATGTGATGCAGCCAGTGCATTGCACACTCTTGCATTGCTGCCTGCCAGTTTGTCTCTGTAGGAACTCCTCTAATTCACATTAGTCATTTCTATACAAAATTTTAAGCTGAAATGTGGCGCACTAAATTTGATTAGTAACTGTTCTACGTAAGAAAATTCAAAGGGTTCATCTGGATTTCCTGTCTCTGAAGTCAGTGTGTAGGAGAAGCAGCAGTTCACTTATTTCAGTAGCTTTTTGGCTTGATTGCTGTATTTACATGTTAGCATTAATGATTTTTGAAAGGGCTAATAAAGGATTTTAAGGTATGATGGAAAAGATTAGACAGCGTGAGAGCAGTATAGACTCAAGTCTATGTTTGATAGCAGGACAGTAAATGTAGCCATAGACTTTTTATTTCCAAAACATGCTCAAACACAGTAGTGTAAGAGTACAACAATGCAGAATCAATCCTCTCAAAGACTTAATCACTATGACTTTAACTTTTATCAAAAATAATAATTAGGAAAAAATGTACAACTAATGTAAATGTGTGTAGATAATACTACTTTTCTCAATAACTTGCTTTCTGTTTTATGTACCTTTTTTAGATGCCAACTCAGTTTGTGGAGTCAGTTTTGGAAGTACATAGTAAATTTGTTCAACTCATCAACACTGTTTTGAATGGTGATCAACACTTTATGAGTGCCCTTGACAAGGTAACTTTTACTTATGAAGTAAAAAAAGCATTGGAAAACAAAATGGGGGACCCTGTTTCAGGCTCACTGAAATTCTTCAGGGCATCAACACGTGTTCAAAGATAGAGTTCTTATGCAGTTTTTCTAGTTTAGAAATGCAATGGAACAGAAGACAATCCAGTGTTAGGGGAAGAGATAAGTACAAAGGGAACCACTTTAATACTTAGTTTTTTTCTGAAAGAAAGACCTTTCTTTTCATCATAAATCAAAACACAAAAATGGAACTGACCCATTTAATGTAAATTTAAGTGCAGATAATAAATAGACAAATTGTGGTTTTGGGGAAGTTTGGTAACTTACATGCATTTGAACTTGAATTTGCTTGCTGCCATAATGTTTAAACTCTGAATGCTGATAGTATTACTTACATAGAAGCTTTGTTTAGATTTTTCAAGTTGACTGCAAAGAATATCTGGAAACTTACATTACTTCAATCGCTGTCACAATAGCTAAATTTTTCTAGGAGAGAACTGCACTTGAAGTTAAGTAAGCCTGTTTATTTAAGAGGCTTGCTGCTCTTTGTCTTTGAAATGCATAGCCATGAAGGTATTTAAGGTAACAGTTCTAAATGTTATAGATTTTAATAGTAATAATAATTAGAACTATTATTATTGTTGTTATTATTATTATTATTATTATTAACTTCTGTAAAACATGCAGGGGCTCCTGAGGGATTGAGTGGCTCCTCCTCAAAAAAGTAGTACATTTTATCTAAACATTTCCA